ATCCACGAATAATATTATTCAATCACAACAAAATAACTAAAATAGTTATTCTAGGTTTTTTAATATGTAATTTCGTCCAAATTTGAATTTAAAATGTCTGTAAAAATAACTGTGTTCATATATTTTTTAGATTTTTTGGTTACAGTATGAACTATTTATGAGAACCTTTGTGTTGAATTTGCAATCCTTAGCTATAAAAACTGAACATTTTATAATTTATTAATTACAATGATTGATTATTTTCGAGATTTTGATAAATTTTGTCAAAATTTGATCTTTAAATGCTTATAAAAAAAAACTGTGCCTATGTATTTTTAATATTTTTCAACTGATATTGTAAAAATATATCAGGAGCCTTGTATAAATTTTTACACTTTTTGGCCCAACAGATAAAACTTTATTGATATTTATAGAAAAAAAAACTAAAAAAAAATTGAAAGCTGTAAATGTCCATAAACAGCTCAAAAAGAGTCAAAATATTTTCAAAAATTGTATGGTGTATAGGAAATGCTAATATAAACATTCAGTGAAATTTTCATGTATCTACAGTTATCGTTTTTGAATTACAACAAAATAAGGAAATCGCTACATGAGAAATCGAGTGAAACTCCAATGTTGTAAAAATTTGAATTTCAAACGCTCATAAAAATTTAATTTGACATTCCGGTAGAGATTTTTTTATTGATAAAGGTAGATAATCTTATAAGGAATCTTGGTGTTTCATTTCAAATCTTAGATTTAAAAGAAAATTTTGACGAATTCTTAACTCAAAATAATTTGCTAATTTTCGTGATTTTTCCATATTTTGTGAATTTTTGAACTTTAAATGCTTATAAAAAAAAATTGTGACTAAGGATTTTTAATATTTTTCATCTGCCTTTGAAACAACATATTAGGAGCCTTCTATTAAATTTTCAAGCTTTCGCAACCAACAAATAAAATTTTATTGATGTTTTTAGATAAAAAACTAAAAAAAAATGGAAAATGAAAATGTCCCTAAACAGTTCAAAATAGATCAAAATATTTTGAAAATGTTATCGTGTATAGAAAATGCAATTATAAACAACCAGTGAAAATTTCATGTATCTACGGTCATTTGTTTTAAAGTTACACCAAAAACCAAATTCGATTTTTTGGAAAATCGATTTTGCGTAAAAATTCCCGTTTTTCCTTAATTTTTATGTTGTTTTTCCCGGCGCTTGTGAAAACTACTGGGAAATTTATACTTTTGACCCCCCAAAGTACCAACTAGATTCACTTTCCTATCAGAAAAGCTACTGCTGAAGAAAATCCAAGCACTTTTACTGTCCTAAAACGTGATGACAGACACAAAAAGATAAATAAAAATATAAAAATATAAAATATATTCAAATATAAAAACATACATCATTGTAAACCAATACATCATCGCTCCGCTCAGAATCTAATAAAAAAAAAACACACACCATTAAAATCAATACGTTCATCGTTTCACTCGAATCTAAAAATATGATGGGAGGCCTGGGCTTCTAGCCCCCCCCTGGATCCGTCCAGGGTGCTCAAGTGCCATGCTTTTACAGATACGCTGAATTATATGCTTATTGAATAATATAGTTTATACATTTTTTCCAAAATCTGATAATTCCATCACTGATATAAGATTAAATTGACATTGATGTATAGATCAACGCTCAATTGTAAATTAAACTATTGACATTTGACAGTAGTGAATTATTGAATGCTGATTCACGTAGCTACACAATTACATATGACATTTGTAAGTAATACAGTAAATATTTCAAACAATTCAAGCATTCTGTTTTAGGTCATCAACATAATATGTTTCCAATTAATCTTTAGTTATGGCATAGGTACTTTACCTCGTAAATCGTAATGCCTATACGACTATAACTACATTTCAACATATTAATATATATATCATGTCATTATATGTATTGATATGTATTAATATGATAAAATATAAAAAAAAGAACTGTCGTGTAGGTGAGTGTAAGTTAATATATATATTCCACTTCGAGGAATTTGTCAATTATATGTACTATGTTATATAGGTGATGCATTAATATTTAATACTCTTTTGACTATTACAATGTACCTAAATGCCACAATATCATCGTTGTGCATCTTATTCTTACCTTGGCGCGTCCCTGCACCTGGTGGGCAATCCTTGGAAAACGGGCAAGTGGGCAATACGTTTCTCCGGAAAGTGAACGACGAGAGGATGGGGCTTTGTGTGGCGGAGATTGCTGGCGACTCGTTTAGTTGGAATATCGACAACCGTTTTACTGTACAAAAATAATAATTGGTCCTCGCGAAAAACGACATATGAGGACAATTGTTCCCTGTTAAGATTTTATACACGGAGACAATTTATTGGTCCCCGGCCTAAAAGTTAAACACAAAATATTTTTTTAAGCATAAAACGTGCTTACACTTAATATAATTCAAATAATAATTAGAAAATTAAATATTAAAATGTTCGCTCCAGCGTACAATATACATATTATGTGGACTATACAAATAATTTAATAATTCATCTTCTGAAAAGTACAAATAATATACAAAATAATAGATGAAATGTTTTTTTTTCTTTATCGTATTTATATAGGTTTCATAAAATTAAATAATATTGTAAGATATGGTGGAAAAATCGGTGTAAATGGCCTTAAATACGTTGTCTTAAATTCTGTAATTGTTTTTTTATAAATTCCATACATAATGGTGATGCCTAATTTAAATTAATGAATTGTAAATGGTGCTGCAAAAAAAAAAAAAATTCAGTGTCTAAAGCAAAAAATTAGACGTGGACTGTGTATATTGTCCGTATATACAATTATGACGGGGACCAATAATGTCCGTTTACCATATACGTCGACGTGAAAACGTTTGATCGAAAGTAACTAGTGAAGATAGAAATGATTGAATCGGACGCCACGGACAATTATGTGAATCGTGGATACCGACTCGCGAGTAATAATAACGACTTTAATACTATAGAAATAAAATTTCAAATTTCCATGATCAGTATATAATGATTAAAAAATAATGTTTATACATTACATTAAGTTTGGTTTCCGGTTCTTTGACGAGAATCCTTCGATAGCTACCGCGATACCACTTGAACCACAGATTGATGTTTGAATACCTCTGCCATGAGATATGGATAGCGATCGCATAGGTAGGGTTTAGAACTTCACCGGAAATCGAGGAGGTACGAGTATCCATCCAGGATTCAAAAAGTCACCAAAGAATTAGAATTTGTGTTAGGATTCGTTAGTACGTCGGTACGATTTTTTTTACTCACAATGTATACAATATACAGTATATAATCAATTGAGTTCGCTCATTTGATACAAACTTTTCTGAGTATAAAAATATAAAAATAATAACACAAAAAAATATAGGTGCACAAAAATATCGCGTTTTAAACTTTAATGTTGACATAAATGTAGTTTAGCTCCCAAGCGTTTTTTGGATTTTTTTTTTTCAAAATGCGTCTTTTGCATGCCTAATTTGATGGTACTTTCAAATAAAAACGCTCAAACTTCATTTGTAAGTATTATGGTAAAAACAATATTTTATTTTAGATTTTTTAAACTACCATTATCAGGCGAAGATCCAGACAAATTTAACAAGGGGGGCTCAAAACATGAAATATCGGTTTTAGGTACCTTACTATTTAGATTACGTAATTAATAATACAAATTTATTTTATTGGTGTCTTAGACCAGGGGTCTCCAAACTTTTTTATTCAAGGGCCACAAAAAAAATCAAATATTCTTAGCGGGCCAAAAGTTTATTAACACATATAATTTTTAATTTTATGATAATATAAGTACCTACCTATATAAATAATATGTTTACTTTATATTTTTGTATAAAATATTGTTTACTTTACAATATACTTAAATAAAAATAAATAGGTATAAATATAATATAATATAAATACATTTTTGAAATAATTTTTTATCTATATTTACATATGCGGCCATGCGGGCCACGGGCCGGTTAAAACTTGTTGGCGGGCCGTATCCGGCCCGCGGGCCGTAGTTTGGAGACCCCTGTCTTAGACGACCGAGGGTGTCCAAGAACCCAGAGCCCCCCTCTGAGTCTACGCCTGCCAATATATACAATAAGCCAATAAATATATTAATTTGTAATTTATTTAGCTATATAATATGTAGGGTTGGGCAAGATACTCAAAAAAAAGTATCATGACACATGCATTTAGTGTATCTAGATACAAGATACAAGATACATGATACTTTTATTGATTACTTCCAAATTAATTTTATTAATTAGTTAAACAGTTACACAGAAGACAACAAAACAAACTGTACAACAATGCGAATAGTATACACTGTAATAATTGCTTATCTGTACCTTTAATTAAATTTTTTATATTATGTGGAAAGACCTACGTAGCGGATTCATATTTTATGAGAACGAAAATTTCAGTTTAGTGCTTATTTATGTATCACTGTAGATATATATTATAGATAGGTAATTATTATAGAAAGAACAATTGCAACAATTGAATTTAATATTTTTAAAATTATCTTACAAGTATATATTGTATAAGAGATGTCTTCAATATTATTCATTTCGGTTCAATTGCTCCTGGACAATTTTTCGTAAAAACACATTCTGCGTGGAAATTGTATAGGCATGATAAAATGTTAATGATAAACACACAAAAAAAAAATTACCACAATTTTTACATTTATTTGAGATTTGAGTGTCCTGCAAACCGAATTTTCGAATTTTCTTGGTACTATTATTATTCAGTGAAAATGTTTAGAACAATAGTAATTTGTAAACTTCTGGAAAAAAAAGATACATGATACTTAGTATAAAATGTATCATGATACATGATCCTTTAAAATGATGTATCACGATACAAGATGAAAGATACAATAATTGTGTCTTTGATACTGCCCAATCCTGTATTTATGTATCGATTGTACACGCTTTTCAATTATAATATTTACATTTTACAGCAAACCGTGTGGAGACATGGCCGACGTATTAATGTCTCTCAAACACACCGTACCAACTCCACAATCCTCAGTAGACGAACAACATCAACAGCACGACCAGGCGTATGGGCTGTCCACCAATCACAATGTAAGTACAAAGTATAATATAATATTATATCCATTCAGTGAGTAGTGATCGCTCACTCCTCTTAATGCATTTCTTGCAGACCGGTCTCACGTTTGGAAGGTAGGATAAGTTTATTGAAAAAAGAACAGTTGATTTTTGACCAAGACACTCAGTACCTATATAGGTAATAATATTATAAATGTAGTTTAGTTCCCACATGTTCTTTTAGATTTTTCCCCCCCAAAATGTGTGTTTTTAAGCACTGAATACACAAGTCTAATTCGAAAATTCTCGCAAATTATTATTTCGGAAGTTATATCTTTCCAACGTTACGATTTTACGTATTTACGCATGCACTTTGCTTTCCTACGTTTTCGTATTGGATTGTCGCCTCTTATTAATTATTTTATTTTATTTTGTTATAATATTATTTAAAGTAGTTTTGATGAAAAATGTAGATTAATAAATCTGTGACCAATGTGTCCTACATGAGGTGGTTTTTCATAACAAGTCGAGGGATATTTTCGATTTGCGGAGCGGAGCGATGGCGCCGAGGAGCGTAGCGACGAGTGCCGATACTCGCGTAGTCACTGCCCAAGCAAAATAATATTTTTACTGACATTTTCACATATCCATAATTGTTTTGTCTCTGTTGCCTATTTGAGGTGGTTTTGCATAATAAGTCAGGGGGATATTTTCGATTTACGGATTAGAGCGACGGAGCCGAAAGATATTGTGATATCAAGCTGTGATATTGACTGTACATGTACATTTTGATTTTAATTTACGAGTTTTTAAACACCAAATACGATGATCAAAACTATTTGCATATTTCCGTCTATCATAAAAAACATACAATTAAAAAAAAAATCAAAAAGTTTTTTCGATGTTTTTATCGAGGATATTACTTATTTTTAAAAAAATTACTATTTTATAGTTTTTTTTGGTATAACTTTTTAAGTAAAAAAATGTGAGAATTTTTAAAATAGACTTTTGTGTTCAGTGCTTTAGAACACACATTTTGGGAAAAAAATAATCGAAAAAATTGAGTGGGAACTAAATTGCATTTGTTACTGGTTTCCAGGGATCGATATGGTTCAATGGTTGCATAGGTCTTGAATATATTATACAATCTATTTTAAAAATAAAAGTGAATATCACCATCTGTTTATTATACAAGCGCTTCTCCTACATTTCATGCCGTGAAAATTCGAACATTAGAAAATACAGTCTACGACACGTTTCGTGTAATATGATACATTGTCACACTGGCCAGTCTATGTGTAAAGAATAATTCTTTATGATCCCACACATCTAAATGTTAAGTTGTCATATCTTATTCCTGAAACACCTCGCAGTAATCCACGTTTTTGATAAACTCTACAAAATACTATTTTGTACGTCTCACAATGGTTTGAAACGCTATTTTAACGGCTCTAAGTCCCATTTCAAAATAAATCATAAAAAAAATATCAAAACTCTATTAGCATGAGTTGCTTAAATCAAATATAAAATTTCATAATCATGCGTTTATTTTTAACTTGTTTATACAATTACTAGATGATCCTGTGCACTTCGTTGCCCGTTAAATGTACTAACTCTATATGACTCACTTTATTCAATTCGTTATTTAATATTCGGTGTGACGCAAAAAAGATTTTAAAAATCCTGGGAATATTCTTTATTTTATGTATACATATGAATTTGGGAATAATTGAGTAATTTCATTGGCACGACAAAAAAAAAAATCTCACACATAATATTTTTGAATAATTTTAGATGGTTAAAGTTATAAAAAATTATAATAATATATTTTATCTCCTTAATATCATTAATACACCTAAATTAAAAAAAAAAAAAATCCGAAAACATTGTATTTCCTTCATAAAAAAGATATATAGTTTCATTAAAAATAACAGAAAAAAACGTCATTAAGACTTACAATTTCCACGTTGATAAAGTTTTAAACAAGTTAAAAATAAATGTATGATTATGAAATTTTATATCTGACTTAAGGAACATAAAATTCTAATGGTTTGAAATTTTTTTTTTTTAATTTATTTTGAAATGGTACTGTGCGCCTGTAAGGTAGTACATTGACAAAATATCGGGGCTATGGGGCATTGTAACTTTAATTACCTATAATAAAAATTAAAGCAAATTACCAACTTTAAAGAGATACCTACAGTATTTTATATTAATTCAGTACCTAAAGTGTATTAACTATCGTTAATTTTGCAGTTTTATAAAATAATAATATAATATAATACAATATAGGTATACCAATATTATACGTAAAAAGTAATATGAAACCCACACGTACTTCAAAAACACGTTAGATATACTGAAATACACGTATCTGTAGCAAATTATTAATATTATCTCGTCAATTATATCTGTGTCAATATTATTTTATATAAAAAATGTTTATTACTTATCACTTAACAAAGCAATTTCAGTAAGTAATCATAAATTCATAAAATGCATTGATTGGAAAATCGGGTTTAAGTTTAAATATATTGAAATTTTATTTGTAAATCAAGAAATTTTTCTATCGCGAGTACCTATTCGAATTAGTAATACTTAAAAAACTAATTGTAATTTACACTATATAGATTTAAGATTATATACCTATATAGACTAAGTAATTATATATAGTCAGTGGCGCAACCAAGATTTATTCAAGAGGAAGGGGTCCCAAAAAAAATTTATTTAAATACTGTTTTTCTGTTTCTTTCCTGAATATATACATACATTTTATTACTTAATAAACACAATTATTTAATACATATGATATCAATCTTTTTTCATGACAGTGTCAGGGAATCTTTAAAAAAAATATAATCTATGTATTATTACCTACCTATAAAGGCTATAGTTTTATCTACATTGCCCATCAAAGTCGGGTCGTCATCGTTAAATTCCAAAAATCCGAGAACTTCAATAAAAACATTGTAATCTGAGCACATATCATTATGTAATACAACGAACCGACCACAGTTGCAAATCATCCCGCTAGACTTATAACAGGACATTGAAAATCGCCCCGGTTACACTTACATCGCAAATAAAATAGATTAATCAATTTAATATTATTATTATTATTTAATATAATATGTTTGTACATACAGGACGATTCGCAACCACTGATCGACTATGGCGGTTCGTCGTACGGCGATCAGACGTGCTGGACCACGCTCGGAGGCGGCCACCAGCAGCAACAGGTCCAGCAGCATCAATTCCCCAGCATGAGCGTGAACGTCAGCATGAACATGACCATGCACGGGTACGCTCCGATACACGGAGACGCTCAGTTCGGGTGTCAACCGGTAATTTTTTTTAACTATATGTTTATAAATTATAAATTATTTTACCGCACACGATCGGTGAAGTTTAGTATAACAACCATATACAATATATCTATGAATTATGGTTAAAGCTTCACATATTTTACACAATTCACATTTTATGCTACTGAAATGTGCAAGTTCTTAGGTAAAATAATACATTTCATTTGTTGTATTATAAATTGGAAACTATAATGTATTATTATTCGATTAAATTAATTTTTATGAATCTATCGAAAAAAAATATACTCTCCACTCTTTATGTACTAGCGACTGAAATTTTCATATTGTTATGATAGCTTAAAAAGTAGCTAGGTAAATATAATATATTAATACCTACGAGCTACGTTTAAACCTTAGCCAATTAATTAAATTGATGCGTACAATTTGATTTTACATATTTCCAACATAATAGCATTATTAGTTATTATACCTAACATTTTTCATAAAAATATTGGTCATAGACAGGAAAAAAATAGAATCTATGCTAATATTATATGACCTAACCTAAAACATTATATTCACGTTTCTCTTACTTTAAAACTCATTTTCACCCATTTATCGGTCCACATACTCGATGAAATATATTTACAAAAACTACCTGATGGCTGATTATTACTATAGAGGTAGTCTTGATAACGGAAAACTGAAAAGTACTTACCTATTTCTTAAACCTTGCCAAGTTGTCATTAATTTTATGATCAATTGAAAATAGATGGTTACAATCTTTGCTGGACCACTGTGCCAGAAATTTTCGATGATTCCTGATGCCACATAAAAACTTCAAAAAATTTAACGGCCATTTAATATGTTACAATAAAATTATTTTATTAAGGTCTGCTGTACGCCTGTACATTAAGTCTAGGTGTCGTGTGGGTCACTGTAATGGATGAGTTAAATTTTGATTTCAAATAGTTCAATAAAAGCATTGTATACGAAAAACGATTCTGCAATAAGACGGTCACCGATTTTACAATAAGTTTATTTTATAATACTAATGCTATTAAAGTACAGTAGGTAGGTAGAATTAATTTTTACACAAAACATCGCACTTGAAAATTGCGTCTTTCCAGTTTCCAATGAATGATGAAGTTCAACTATTTCATAACGGACTTTTCGTCCGGGATTCATTATAGGCTGACTGACCGTGTTCGCTCAGATTCGTTTTTCTCATAAAATGATATACATATATTATAATATAATATTATTGAATTCAAATTTAACACCATTCGTTACAGTGACCCACTTGTAACCTACTGTACAGCAGAGCAACACCAGCTTGCCCACATTTTTACCATTTTGCTCCATTGGTCACCCAATATTGAAAAATATCCGAAGGCCCCAGGCAACCTTCGCTTAGCCAGCTGTCCAGACCGACCCTGGTTACGATGGTTTAACGAAATTTATTTTGATAAATAATGGACTAATTTCATTGTGATCAAATCATACCAGTTTCTCAATAATTGTACAGTAATTTTTCCGAGCGGGTCTACTTATGAAGGTTCTATACTAATTATTATTATATCGTATCGCAGGTAGGGTGGACTCTGCCAGCGTCACCATCACCGGTACATCATCTCCACCACCACCATCATGGCCCGGTGCACCACCACCAAGGCCTGTTGAGTCCATTGGTGGCCATGGGCAACGGTGGTTACCCGTCGGCAGCCACGTATTCGTTCACGGCCGACTTCCGGCCACAGGACCCGATAGCGTCCCAACTACCACCCCCACCGTTTGCGTGCAACATACAACCGGCTGTGCCAGCGCAGTCGTCGTCCTCGTCTGCGGCAATGATCGACGACGATTGCAAGGACCTGAAACCGTGCGCCGAAATCCTCATGTCGGTGAGTGGCTGCGGTATGGGCGGCGCCGAGTGTTCTCCCGTGGGGTCAGCTACCATCGGTGAGGATGGCTGCCGGCCTAACATGTGCCGGATATGTGGCAAGACGTACGCCCGTCCCAGCACGCTCAAGACACACCTGCGCACGCACTCGGGTGAAAAACCGTACCGGTGCGACGATTGTAACAAATCGTTTAGCCAGGCGGCCAACCTGACGGCGCACGTGCGCACCCACTCTGGCGAAAAGCCGTTCCGGTGTCAGATATGTGACCGGCGGTTCTCGCAGTCATCGTCTGTCACGACCCACATGCGCACCCACTCGGGCGAGCGGCCGTACAGGTGCCGGCTGTGCAAGAAAGCATTCAGCGACTCGTCCACGCTTACCAAACACCTGAGGATACACTCGGGCGAGAAGCCGTACCAGTGCAAGCTGTGCCTACTCCGGTTCTCGCAGTCCGGAAACTTAAACAGGCACATGCGCGTCCACAGCGGTATGAACGGCGCCGACATCTTATTGCCTGTATGACGGTGGCGGACAGTCAGTACCACCACCGCTACAACCTCAACCAGCCACCACAGTCATCACCTCCATCACCATCACCATCGCTACGTCGACTGTTGTTGGTAAGGACAATATCCCCGAACGAAAATAAAATAAACTCGATTGAAAAATCACAACACCAACTTCGAACGATACACAGAGCAGTACAAACCCCGACTACTCCACCCGGGGTCGGTTCGATTCGTGTCTTTCGCCTAATTCATCTGTAGATATGCGTACGGTTTATTCTGCATAAATGTATAGGTAGTAAGTTCCGCTATCGCAGTTATATATATATAACTATATAAAATATAACATCATCACGCACACATGTCATTGTCATGAATACATAATTTACTTGCTCGGAGTCCATGTTTTTAATCACCTATATTATACACGGTATTATATGTTTTCGGTTAGAATAAAACCACCTGTAAGTATTTTGTTTTCGAAAACCGATAACAGTCGTACACGGCGGCGATGGTTTATAAGTATACGCATAGAAAAAGTATACATATGGCTAAACCGACGATGGGAAAATATAGGTAACTAATTCGTTTTTGTCCGTGCGTTGATAGTACATGACAGCCCCTGAGAAATATTCAAATATAACACCAATTCCCGTTGTTTTTTGTTACTCACGAATTCGTACTACCATTAGTTCAATTTCATTTTTAGAGGTTTTTGACGTTTTTGTTTTTCCCCGATGACCGATGATCTACAGTGTGTTGGACAGTCTTCGATTTTTTTTTTGCATAGTTTTCATTCTTTGTATGTGGCAACTGATTTTTAGCACAATATTAATATAATATATAGACGACATTAACCACCCTACACCCACATCAATGAGTGCACCATCGAAATGAACATGATGATGACAACTTGAATAAAGTCGTGTTTACACTTCACAGAGCAAATATATATATATATAGAATATAGGTGTAAGTTGTATGAATTAAATCGTCTCATTTTTTAATTTATAATTTATACATATAATTTTAGCACGTCCGTGACAAGTATTTATACCATTCGTAATTCTGTGGAATTAATTTCCGACTATAATCTGAACCACTTAGACGTACTTATTTAAATATATTCAATTTCAAGTTCAGTACAATTTTACTTCATACCCAAACTCGAAATCTAGAATCAGATTAAACATTGACATCAACTTTCTATTAATATGTATTATTTAGTTGTGCCACACTAAAATAATTATTTGGAATATAACTAGAATACTAACATAATATTATGAAAAACTTTACTCAATACTAATATAGTACAATATAATTTATTGTCTTGGTATATCCATTGATTATAAATATCATATGTTCAATAATTACCCTTCGTCGAACAATACGATATAATAAATTGTTTACAATTTTTGAAACTGAAGTCCCGCAGCAAATAATTAATCTCAACATTTTTATTTTAAAATCAATTATATGTGATGAATATTAAGACTTCGTTAATTAATACAAATATCACTTGGTGTTAAAATTGTTTTTTTTTAGTAGAATACTGCATAATATAATATAGAATACGTACATTATTGTTCTCAAACCTCGTTGATATTATAGTGTTGTGTTTTAAATAGTTAAGTCTTTTTTCGTCGTATACATTATGTAATATTAATAACGACGCAAATATTTTAATGTTCATAATTAAGTATTAAGTATTAACCAAATTTTAGTTATCTATACTTAATTTTATAACAGTCCTTTTTTTTCTAATCAGTTATATAGTGTGTAAAATTGATTTTACACATTTATGTGTGTTATTTATGTCATAATTAATTATTTTTAAATATTCAAGTATATTCTCAATCTAGTCAATGTATTTTATGTATAACAAATAACTTCTAGAATTACTATACAATCATTTGTAAGTATGGCTAAAAAATATAAAACAATATAAATGCGAATGAAACGCATAATAATAATACATAATAATATAGGTATATAATACAATATCATTTATAGTGTATTAATTTCTCCTCGTCTTTGTTTCTATTGCTCTACATTTAAGAACACATCATCTACCTTTGGTCGGTATGAATTATATGATATATCAACATCATTGATACTAAACACTACAATTATGAATGGAAACTGTGGGTCAACCTCTGTTTCTAAAGATATTTTAAAAATATTTATTTACAATAGATATTATAAGTAATTATTAATAAGCAATGATGACCTAATTTATGTGTAAGACATTGAACATATTATTTAAACGTTGATATAATAATACAGTTATTGACTTAAAAGTGAAGTCAATATCGAAGCGGTGACGAACCTTAGAACTGTGTAGAAAATGAAATCACGGTATAGGAAATATTAGTCAATATTTTGAAAATTCCAATGTATACAGAAAATGATAATTTAATTAATAATAGAATGATTCAATCCTCTACTTGTAGTATTGGTAGTAGTATTTTGAGAATAACAAAATAAAAAAAGGTGGGTAAGTGGATGTCACTCTGCTGTACAGTAGGTTACAAGTGGGTCACTGTATAATGGATGCTATTAAATTTGAATTCAATGATAAAATATCATTGTATAAGAAAAACGATTCTGAGCGAAGACGGTATGTCAGTCTAGGTTTAAGACATATTATAATATCTATGGTATTAAATAAAAAATTGACCTATAATAAATTCCAAATAATTCATATCACAATATCCATTAGGTACTTATAACACGTCATTCATCAATAACAAACCCTGATACTATCATAGATATATAATAGTACACTTTAGAAGTTTCAAGTAGGTACCCACAAATAATATTATATAACCACAACAAAATAACTAAGTTTTTTAATATGTAATTTCGTCCAAATTTGAACATAAAATGACTATAAAAATAAATTGTGATTGTATATTTTTTAGATTTTTCGGTAAGAGAATTAACTACTTACGTGGAATCTTGTTTTAAATTTTCAATCCTTAGCTATAAAAACTGAACATTTTATAATTTATTAATTACGATGATTAATAATTTTCGAGATTTTGAAAAATTCATGTCAAAATTCAATGTTTAAATGCTTATAAAAAAAAATTGTGCCTATGTATTTTTAATATTTTTCAATTGCTATTGTAACAATATATCAGGAGCCTTGTATTAATTTTTTACACTTTTTGGCCCAACAGATAAAACTTTATTGATATTTATAGAAAAAAAAAACTAAAAAAATTGAAAACTGAAAATGTCCGTAAACGGCTCAAAAAGAGTCAAAATATTTTCAAAATTGTATGGTGTATAGGAAATGCTAATATAAACATTCAGTGAAATTTTCATGTATCTAAAGTCATTCGTTTTTGAATTACAACAAAATAAGGAAATCGCTACATGAGAAATCGAGTGAATATCCAATGTTGTAAAAATTTGAATTTCAAACGCTCATAAAAATGAAATTTGACTTTTTATAGAATTTTTTTTTTTGATAAATGTAGGAAATCTTATAAGGAATCTTGTATTAAATTTTCATATCTTAGATTTAAAAAGAAAAATTTTTATGAATATCTAACTCGAAATAATTTGCAAATTTTCGTGATTTTTCCATATTTTGTCATTATTTGAACTTTAAATGCTTAAAAAAAAAACTGTAACTAACGATTTTTAATATTTTTCATCTGTCTTTGAAACAATATAGTAGGAGCCTTGTATTAAATTTTTATTGATTTTCATAAAAAAAAAAACTAATAAAATTGGAAACTGAAAATGTCCCTAAACAGTTCAAAATAAATCAAAATATTTTGAAAATGTTATCGTGTATAGAAAATGCAAATATAAACAACCACTGAAAATTTCATGTATCTACTGTCATTTGTTTTAAAGTTACACCAAAAACCAAAATCGATTTTCTCGAAAACAGATTTTGCGTAAAAATTCCAGTTTTTCCTTAATTTTTCTTTTGTTTTTCCCTGCGCTTTTGAAAACTACTGGGAAATTTAAATTTTGACCTCCCAATGCACCAACGATATTCACTTTCCAATCGAACAAGATACTGAAGTCGAAAATCGAAGCATTATTTCGACTACTTATCGTGTACACAGACACAAAAAAAATAAAAATAAAAAAACACACATCATTGTAAAATCAATACATTCATCGTTTCACTCAGAATCTAAAAATTGTTAGGAAGAATTATTTGAATAATATGAATATCCAATTTTATCAAAATGTGAGTTTCAAACACTTTTATATTAATTAAGGTATTATGCTCAGGGGCGTCATTTGGGGTATTGCAGGGTATGCCTATGCATACCTAAAATTATCAAGATGCAATTTGGCCCGACTATAATTTTTCTGCGCCGGGCAAAAATAATCCTTTTTAGATTCTGAGTGGAACGATGAATATATTGATTTTACAATGATGTGTGTTTTTTTTATTTTTTTTTATTTTTTTTGTGTCTGTGTACACGATAAGTAGTCGAAATAATGCTTCGATTTTCAACTTCAGTATCTTGTTCGATTGGAAAGTGAATATCGTTGGTACATTGGGGAGGTCAAAATTTCACAGTAGTTTTTAAAAGCGCTTCCCGGACAAAAGAAAAATTAAGGAAAAACGGGAATTTTTACGCAAAATCTGTTTTCGAGAAAATCAATTTTGGTTTTTGGTGTAACTTTAAAACAAATTACCGTAGATACATGAAATTTTCCGTGGTTGTTTATATTTACATTTTCTATACACGATAACATTTTCAAAATATTTTGATTTATTTTGAACTGTTTAGGGACATTTTCAGTTTCCAATTTTATTAGTTTTTTTTTTATGAATATCAATAAAAATTTATTTGTTGAGTAAAAATACTTGAAAATTTAATACAAGGCTCCTACTATATTGTCTCAAAGACAGATGAAAAATATTAAAAATCGTTAGTCACAGTTTTTTTTTTTAAGCATTTAAAGTTCAAAAAATGACAAAATATGGAAAAATCACGAAAATTTGCAAATTATTTCGAGTTAGTAATTCATAAAAATTTTTATTTTTAAATCTAAGATATGAAAATGTAATACAAGATTCCTTATGTGATTTCCTACATTTATCAAAAAAAAAAATTCTATAAGAAAGTCAAATTAAATTTTTATAAGCGTTTGAAATTCAAATTTTCACAACATTGGATAATCACTCGATTTCTCATGTAGCGATTTCCTTATTTTGTTGTAATTCAAAAACGAATTACTGTAGATACATGAAAATTTCACTGAATATATATTAGCATTTCCTATACACCATACAATTTTGAAAATATTTTGACTCTTTTTGAGCCGTTTACGGACATTTTCAGTTTTCAATTTTTTTAGTTTTTTTTTTTTCTATAAATATCAATAAAGTTTTATCTGTTTTGCCAAAAAGTGTAAAAAATTAATATAAGGCTCCTGATATATTGTTACAATAACAATTGAAAAATATTAAAAATACATAGGCACAATTTTTTTTTATAAGCATTTAAAGATCGCATTTTGACAAAATTTATCAAAATCTCGAAAATTATCAATCATCGTAATTAATAAATTATAAAATGTTCAGTTTTTATAGCTAAGGATTGAAAATTTAAAAAAAAGATTCTCATAAATAGTTCATACTGTAGCCAAAAAATCTAAAAAATATATGAGCACAGTTATTTTTTACAGACATTTTAAATTCATATTTTGACAAAATTACATATTAAAGAACCAAAAATAACTATTTTGTTGTGATTGTATAATATTATTCGTGGGTACTTGAAACTTCTAAAGTGTACTATTATATATTTATGATAGTATCACGGTTTGTTGTTGATGTATAACGCTTATAAGTACCTAATGGATATTGTGATATGATTAATTTGGAATTTATTATAGGTCAATTTTTTGTTTAATATAATATATATGTATATAATATGTGTTATACCTAGACTAACGTACCGTCTCCGCTCAGAATCGTTTT